AGGAGTGGTGTCCTGCATAGCACAACAAGCAGTAACGAGGGCGCTACGTTACCGCCATGTGCCGCTGGGGAGGTAGGGGTCCTCCGTTGCGCAACATGTCACTATATATATATATAAAACATTCAGCCAGGTTAATAGCACAAACATTAAGTTGCTTTTATATTGCTGTCAGCAGCTTACTCTATATACTGTCAAGTGGTAGAATGATTAATGAATGATGAATTGGAAAAGAAGCGGAAGGAAGCAGTTATCACCTTACTTAAATACAAGCCCAGGATTTAGTACCTGGAAGGGCTTAGGAAAACCATAAACTGCTCACCCTCATTCACGATAGAGGCTTTGGCTCAGTCAACTTAACCTGGTTTTGTGAAAATAAGAAATGGTTCAGATGCTTTTCAGGAGATGACATACATGACTTCACATTCCTAATTTTTCCACAGTCAGTATAGCATTGACCAAGGTTTGATTCCTGCCAGGGGCAAGATTTTTCTCTTCACAGCTTCCAGACCAGCTCTGGGGCCCACCCAGCCTCCTATCCGGTGGGTAGTGGGGGCTGTTCCCCCAGAGGTAAAGTGGCAGGGGAATGAAGCTATCACTCACCTCCACTAGTGCCAAAGTCAAGAATAGCGAGCTATACCCACACTCCCAGACACGTTTTCATGACATGCGTAATTAAGCACAGGGATGACTTCACCTTCACCTTCACCTTTACCTCTACACTGTACATCACCAGACTGAGATGTCTCATAGGGGGGAATTTGCAGAGGAGTAGCAGCTGCCAGGGTGCCGGACGCATGTGCCACGCTATTCTACCACCCGAAACAGAAGAATTCACTGGAAGCTGCGGCTGAATGTTTCTGTTAGGCAGATAGTTGGCATATAGTACTGAGATGCTTAGCATCTTCAAAGACCACCCAATTCTGTAACTTCTAATTTCCTACAGTCAGTGTAAGCAATACATCTCAAAATATAAGGTCCTCAAGATGTTTGCTAAAATATCTTGAGAAAATAATGAACCATTAGAACTAGGCATGTGAAATTTGGTATAAAGATAGCTGATAAACATATATACACATTATGTACATGTATGTATGTAGTATGAAATGACTGTAAATCAGCAGTTAAAAACCTGACAATGGTGCTGTGGTTTGAGGTTGTATCTGACAGATTTAGCAGAGTCTGTATTTAGGTGGTAAGCTCTTCACAAGATGGGATAACAGTAATAATAATAATAATAATAATAATAATAATAAGTCGTGTCTTGAACTCCTTGTCATTGATATCAGTGGTATGTATTTGAAATTAGGCTGGATTGACATTAGTTAATAGCAATCAATCATACATGATTTATTCAAATTTTTAAGTTCCTCTTTGAAGAACACACAATGATGAAAGCCTTGTTAAAAAGGGGTACACAATACAAAGTAAATACATTTTTGTTAATACAATAAAATCAGGATGCAATATACAAGTAAAGGACCTTGTAGACATTAAAATTGGACATTATTCTTGAGACAGTGTAGTACTCACAAAATGCATCTATTTAAGACTTATTTGTATTAGATACAGAACTTGCTGAAAGAGCAGCCACTTCCTTCGCCATCCACATTTAATCACCTGTCTTGTGGTGTGAAGAAACGAGGCCACATGGTGTCTTGTGTTTAGACCAGTCCTTGACTTGACATTCCCTGAAAATCACAACATTACTTAAAACATATAAACTAGGCAAGATTCAGGACAGGAGTTTGTATCAGATTTGAGGTTTTCAGGACAGTGAATGTGTATACTTTTGTGGGCTGTTTCATGATGCTGTTAGTATATTGACTATATAGTGTGAAGTGGTAGGATAAATGATGATTTGGAAGTGGTCATGGCCTGATTAATATATCCCAGCATTTGCCTAGAGGGACTGAGATGGACCATGAGAAATTTGTCAAGACAGCTGGTATCCTGGCTGGGATATGAACAAAGCTCTTCCCAAATATGAGCCTAGAGCATTACCACTACACCAACCCACCTGAGCTGTGAATATTGTCATGCATAACAGGTTGGCGTGACTAATAATTGTAGGTTCTAGATTTGATGATAGGATTCAATGGATGTCTCTATTACAGTTACACTTTATTATAACAGTGCATACACTGAATGGATCTCTCTCTATATTTCTTTTGGTTCTTGGACTCGTCTCTAGTCTTCCAGTCTACTACTCGGCATGACTCACGCCCTCTCAGCCACGACTATCTCACACATAACTAACTCGTCTGGAAAACTGCTCTACATTTTATAACTTTGAGAGAACCAAATAGAGAGCACTGCCTCTGAGAGTTTCACTTTGCATATTCATCTTTTAAGAAGTCATTACCATGGATATGCCTCCAGCAATTCATCCAAATCCACAGTAATGGTGCATTTAGTAAGCTGTTGCCCAGTAACAGATGCTTGTTCTTGTTAGATTATTCTGGATTTCAGCCTCCACGTCACAATAAAGTGTGTCTGGATGAAAGGTATCCAAAATAAAATAATTATATCTCAGAAAGCATTTATTTACATATTTATGAGTTACACCATTACAAAGGAAAACTATCAGAGTTTTTTCTGAGTATATACCTTTCACAGTAAATATCAATGTGGGCTTCCATGGTGGCATGACAAATATCCAAACTGTATTCCACCTCATTCCTCATTACTTGAAGCATGTTTGGTGTTACTGTAGCCACAGTGGCCCTTATGCGGGCTTTCAGGTCTTTTAAGCTCGTTGATCTTAACCTGGTATACAATGTTCTTCACAAAACCCCACAAGAAGAAACGACTGTATTCCACCTCATTCCTCATTACTTGAAGCATTTTTGGTGTTACTGTAGCCACAGTGGCCCTTATGCGGGCTTTCAGGTCTTTTAAGCTCGTTGATCTTAACCTGGTATACAATGTTCTTCACAAAACCCCACAAGAAGAAACCCACTGGGGTTAAATCTGGCGACCTAGGAGGCCAAGCGATTGGTCAACCTCTACCAATTCATATCCCAGCCATCTCTCTGTCCAGGTGATTCCTAACATGGTGGCAAAAATGTGGTGGGGCATGCGCATGAGCCGGGCATAAAAAAGAAACTTTCAGGGTTTTCTTTCCGATGACATAAATGGGATGTGTGTATGACAAATAGTTTCCAAGATATAAATTTTTTATTTTGGATACCTTTCATCCAGACACCCAGTATTTTGATCATCTTGGATGGGATGTTGTATGGTTCGATGGGTTTGTACCAGTGTATGGAAAGAACCTTCCTCTATCTTCAGTCCACCATGAAGATCAGAGAGATGAATCTGGTTCTCACTATTAAACTATTACTTTAAGATCAATTTTAATATTTTATTCCCATCTACCCATAAGTCTAAAGTGGTCCCAGTTGTTTAGGTCTTCTGGAATTTTGTGTGCATTTCTAATCTCCTGTATATGATATGTGCCCTGCCCATCTTATCTCCTTTGATTTGTAATCATAAATGATGAATGGAAATTATGAAGCTTCTCATTATTCAGTTTCCTCCTACCTTCTGCTATTTGCTCCCTCTTAAGTAAAAAATTCTCCTCATTACCCTGTTCTCAGACACCTTCAGCAAATATTCTTCCCTTCGATTAACAGGCCAAGTTTCAGACCCCTTNGACCCCTTTCCCCCCCCCCAAAAAAGCTGTAAAAGTACAGTGCAGTGTATTTTAATGTTCACATTTTTAGGTAGACAGGAAGACAAAATATTCTGACCTATAATGGCTAGCAGTTCCCAGATTTGATCTTGCTAATTTCATCATGAATGCAATTTTTATTTTATACTCTCCAGATAGTTTAAATTTGCATTATTTTTTAAGGATCTGTTGGCTATCCATACCTTGTGCTTTTGTCTTTCATTGTGGTGATAACACATGGACGTACACTTAAGTTTTCTCTGTTAGACTAATTTCCTTACCAGAATCCAGCAGAGAGCTTTTGTGTTTCCCTTTGTTGTATTTATAATAACTATACTATGGACTGAATGACGGAAACTGACACTCAATTCCTGAAAGAAGAGAGATTTTTCTCTTCTTCTTAGTTTCCAGAATGGCTTTGGGGCCACCCAACCTCCTCTCCAATGGGTATGGTTATTAGTGCTTCTGTTAAGAATGTTTGAAGCTGTAATTCAGTTTCCTGTACAGGGCACAGATGTAACTTTACCCTATCCTAATCCTGTAGATATTGACATAGACCAGACACTGATGTGAGTGGTAAACTTAAGGTAGTAGAAGTCTAATAGCAAAAACTATGCACAAAAATAAATCTTTTAATTCTATAATTATAGAATTGCAGTTTCTGCTGGCATCTTCCCAGATGAACATATTAAAGACATGTATCATCTCCCCCCCTTGGCACTACAGCCCCAGTGGGCCTAGGCCTACCTCCATGAACTCCGTTCACTTCGGTTTTTCTAGATCTTACACATACGGTAGGACTCCTTGGGCGAGTGATCAGCTCGTCACAAGGCCTCTACCTGTAGACAAACACAGAAAAATGCACACAAACATCCATGCCCTGAGTAGGATTCGAACCCACGATCCTGACTTCTGAGTGAGCGGAGACAGTGCATGCCTTAGACCGCTTGGCTACCGTGACCGGCAGACATGTATCATCAGTTCTCTCAAATTTTTGTTTGAATTGGTGTTCTTGGGCTTTACCTTCCACAGTATGGAGCTTTGCATTGTGAACATTTCTTAGGTGCAGGCTTTCCACAGGCAACACAAACTGGTGGCCCAAGCACCAGTGCTTCTAGTGTGTCCAGGTCATATGTTTCATTCAAGCTGTGGACAGAAATACCAAGCAACATGGCCTAAATATTATGTATATCACAACTTCATCCATTTAAAGCAACAGTTCATGCAACTTTTCTGTGCATGAGTAAATAAAGTTTGTTTAAAATGAAAAATCTTTTCATCTTGTATTTATAGTAGAAGATAAAATGTAGTTTGAAACAAATTATTTCATCACTGATAAGGAACATGAAGTATCACTTTTGAGACAAAGGGGCTGTGAAGAGAGACACTTACCAAGGTATTAAGTTTGAGCATAATTATATGAAACTTGTATTGTGTGTAAATATTTCCACAGCTTTATGGTATGTTACTTCACATATAAATAATTATCATTAGCGAAACAGCCCTTTTGGGCCATAGCCTTCCTCACAAGATTCTGCCAGATTTGTCTATTCCATTGTGAATTAGACCATCTAGTTTTCACTTCTTTGGATTTCACAACAGTAATTTTTTTACAGAGTAAGGTTATCAGCCTTGTGTTCAACCCCTAACCTAGAGGACCAGGTCTCTGTATTTATGTCCCCCAGTGAGAGAGTGGCCCAGTTATACCCCCAGGCACAGGTTCCCTTTTTGTCACCTATGACTCACAGGGTGGAGGTATTCTAAACCACCTCCACATGGGAAACATATAGACAATACCCTCGTTAAAATTGTCCATTTTGTGATAGGTCTGTGAAGGTGGATCTGTTGTTGGAGTGACTGGGTTATGGATTGTTGATGAAAAATAGGACACTGTATGTTGCTACTAGTTTTACTGCCATGCCTCTGCATTGGGATCTTACCTGTCGTATTGGATTTTTTTTCGAGAAAGTTGAATTTTGAACGTACTGCATTGAAAGTTAAATGCAAGAGAGCACATACAAAACAGTTGACAATTCCTGTATCTCAGTTTTTTTAGTTTTGAGAAGCTACACTTCAGGTTTTTGTGCATTTTAATGACTTCTGTAGAACATCATCATCATCATCATCATCATCATCACTGGCATGACAGCCCTTTGTGAGCCCTGGCCTTTCTCAGGATTCCTTGCCATTCTTCTCTATTCGATGCTACATTCCTCCAATTCTTTACACCCAAAATTCTTATGTCCTGCCACACACATTCTTCCCATCTTAACCTTGGTCTTCCCACTCAACTATTTTCTTCTGGTTTAGTATTAAGCATTTTCTTGATGGTTCTATTCTCGCTGGCATGTATTATGTGTCCAGCCCATTCAAGCCTTTTCACCTTTATAAATCCAATAATGTCTGGTTCATTAAATAGTTTGTATAGCTCATGGTTATACCTCTTCCTCCATATTCCATTTTCTTCCACTGGTCCAAAGATATATCTCAGGATCCTCCTTTCAAATATACTTAACAGTCTTTCATCCGATTTTGACAGTGGCCAGGTCTCAGAGGCATAAGATAGCACTGATCTTATAAGTACTTTATACATCATAGTTTTGGTTTTCCTGGGTATTAGTTGGGATTTCAGGTGTTTCCTAAGGCCATGGAGACATTTATTTGCTGCAAGTGCACGCTTTTTTATTTCATCACTGATGTCATTTTTACAGTTAACTTCTGATCCAAGGTAAGTGAAACTACATACAGCCTCAAATTTATATGAGCCAATTTCAATATATGTAGGTCCATTAGCACAGTCTTTCTTGGTTACCGGCATGTACTTTGTTTTATTTTGGTTAATTTGTAGATTCATCTTTTTTGCTGCTCTTTCCAAATTAAGAAAAGCTTCTTTCATAGATTTTTGTGTTCTACCAATTATATCAATATCATCTGCAAATGCCAAAATTTGAACTGACTTGTAGAATATAGTTCCCCTTGTGTTGATGCCTGCATCTCTAACTACCTTCTCTAATGCTATATTGAACAAAAGGCAGGCTAGGGAATCTCCTTGTCGAACTCCATTTCTAGTTATTATAGGGCTGGACAACATATTCTGAATCTTAATTTGGCATTGGGTCTTTCTCATAGTGGCTCTGACTAAGGCGATTAACTTCCGTGGAATGTGCATCTCTTCCATTGCCAGAAAAAGACTATCTCTATCTATGGAGTCATAGGCTGATCGGAAGTCAATGAAAAGATGATGTGTTTCAATTTGGAATTCATTACACTTTTCAAGGACCTGTCGAATAGTGAAAATCTGATCGTTAGTTGATCTTCCTTGACGAAACCCACATTGGTAATCCCCAATTATGCCTTCCACAAAGGGAGAGAGTCTGTTAAATAGAATGTTGGAAAATATTTTATATGCTATGCACAACAGACTAATTCCTCTATAATTAGAGCATACCATGACATCGCCTTTCTTATGGATAGGGCATACAATACTTAGGTTCCATTCCTCTGGGATTATTTCAGTTATCCATATCTTAACTATTAGCTGATGTAAGTGCTTGGCATATTCTGGGCCTGCAAATTTCACTAATTCTGCCATGATGAGATCCATTCCTGGAGCTTTATTATTTTTCAATTTTTTGATAGCTTGTTCTACTTCTTTTATGGTTGGCGCTGGCTCTTCAGCCTCAAAATTTCCTTGATTCCGGTCTATGGTCATACCTTCCACTTGTTCAGAGGCGTTACTATTTAATAATTCCTCAAAATATTGCGCCCATCTTTCCAGTATTGCTTCATCGCTACTCAATATTGTGCCTTCTTTATCTCTACATAAGGTTCTAGGTTGAAAGTTGTTTCGACTCTTGTTTAGTTTTTGATAAAACGCTCTAATTTCGTTCGAACTTCTTAAATGCTCCAGTTCCGTCAGTTCTTGTTTATCATATTCCCTTTTCATATTTGTATGCAATCTTTTTTCTTTTCTTCTCGCTTCACGGTAGCTACCAGTAGCTATGCTATCACTGGCATAGCTCTCAAACCACACCACCACGATAAGGTGGAGATACCATTGGTGGGATCTGTAGAACATGGTAACATTTATACTGTCACATGTATGAAGTTATTTTAAACAGGGTCTGAATTGGTAATTAGATTTATTAGACATAGATTGTAACTACAAGTATAAGGGATGGGCCTTCTCGGCCCTTGCACCGCAACCTACAGTGATCTATTATGTTTAACTACAAGTAACTGAAGTGCCATTGCTAATTCACACAGTCTGCGGTTCACTACAGCATGTACTAAGTCTTCTCAGTCCACTCTCTCTTCACCAGTCATCTGGTAATGGCCTCCAGTGGTGGACATTCCCCTTCCTCTAGGTTCTTGAACTGGTACCGTGCCTCAGCTACCAGCATCACCGCACCAGTCCTCTAACTAACTCACTCACTTGTCAACCAACTTCCACTCCACTGTACTGCACTAACTACCCCACTCGGTCGGTCAAGTGATGTAGCCTCAGAGTGGATCCATAGAAAACACCACTTCCAGCAGTATTTCCATTGTCACATGCAAGCCACTGCCTAGCAACAGCTCCAGTACTGTTGTGTATGTATGAAGATGTTGCCTAGCAATGGGTCTATATGCTACAATATATGCAGTGGCAACAAAATGCCACTTGGACAGAATTGGTACTAATGCACAAATAAGTTTAACCCATCAAGTGATGGGCTGCTACCTGAGAATGTGTTAAAATGCGCAGTGAAACCATCAGAGAGCAACTCAGTGTAGTTAACATAGTAGGGAGTGTTGGGAAATACAAAAGGCAGTAGACTATCCATGTGGAGGAGATGGAGGCTAATAAGAGTGCCAAAGAGCAGCACAGTGCAAACACTGTGGAACAAGAAATGTCAGAGCTGAAAGGAGGTGGTTAGGTCAGCACTGAGACTCAAAACATCTCCTAAAGGCCTGAAACTTGTCAGTACAGAAGGAAAGATATAAGTAGGAAGCATATTAGGAAATAGGAAAACAGTATATCAAAGATCAGATCCCAGACCTGCACATGGGAAAAAGTGGTACCAGTTGCAACACATCAGAACACAAAAGAATAAAAGCACAATAATGAGAAGAGTTATATGTTTTCACCTTTTCATGATGGCTTTAATGTGGGTTTCTTTTTCACAGAACATTGCTTCTGCTTGCCTGGCTGCTATCTTCTTCCAACGTTTGCTATTCTTCTCAAGTAGTCTTTGTTTGATCTGGCAACAACAAGACACGCAAAACAATTATTTTAAAATTGCAGTTCTCCCCATGTGGATTGGAAGGTGGGTCAAGCATTTCAGAATAACCTGCTGACTCCATCTTCTGTCCTGAATATGGAAGCAGCAAGTTTCTCCAAACTATATGTGGTCATATCCCAGAATACCATAATCTTAACATTCATCACCATCATAGTCTCAAATTTCACAGTGATATTTTGACCTAACAAGTCATGCTCAAACTCAAACTCAAACTCTGACCCATTGGTCACCCAGCCTGTAGCCAGTCGCTGTACTGACTACACTCTCTTGGCTCCTGACACAGTGATATACAAGGTGGTTCAAATATGACCAGGACTGATTTGTGTGTAAACAAGCGGCACTGCGCAACAGCTGTGCAACCTTGAGAGACTGAAGCCACAACCTCCAACCTTTCTCCTTTTCGGGTTAGAACCTGTTCAGTCCTGTCTGGGAGTTGCTAGAGTGATGAGCAAACAGACGGTACTGTGGAGCATGGAACAACGCATTGTGTTCAAATTCCTCAGAGAAAACGTCCTGTCTGCTGAAATTCACCACAGACTCCAACAACAGTATTGGGAAGAGAGTCTCTCACAGACCCATGTGTTTGAGTGGTGTAAGTGCTTCAGAGAGGGCAGAGAGTGTGTGGAGAATGAACTGCATGATTGTCGGCCGCGAACATCCATCACCAAGCCAAACCTTGATCGTGCAGATGCGCTTATTCGTGAGAATAGGCGCATCACTATCAAGGAACTTGGAGCAATGCTGTCAATCAGTGTTGATAGTGTAGAAGACATCGTGAAACCTGCACTATTGCTAGGTGAATACATGGTGGGTACCATGCACTTTGACGGACATATACAGAATGGTGTGCATGAAAGCTGCCAGTTGTCTCCTACAGCAGTTTGAAGATGAAGGTGATGCATTTTTGAAGTTTATAGTGACCACTGATGAAATGTGGGTGCACTACTTCATTCCCGAGTCCCAGCAGTCATCACGCGAGTGGCAGCATACCAGTTTTCCCAAACCCAAGAGAGCGCAAAGGAGCCATTCAGCAGGAAAAGTGATGGCAACATTCTTCTGGGACTGGCAGGGGGTTATCCATGTAGACTTTCTGACAGATGCCAGAACAGTCAATGCAGCTTATTACTCAGACCTCCTGGCAACAGATGTGAAGGAAAAGATCCGATCCAAGCAGAAGACAGGTGGAAGGCAGGTAGCCTTCCTTCAAGACGATGCATGCCCCCATATGGCCAAAACAACAATGGAAACCCTCCAGAAATTGAAATGGAACCTTCTGACACGTCTGCCATATAGTCCTGATTTGGCCCCAAGTGATTTCTACCTGTTCAGAAGGCTCAAATCAGACTTGCAAGGCATGTGGTTTGTGAAAGATGCCGTCATCCAGACTGTTCGGGAGTGGATACGCTGCCAACCACCAGCCTTTTTTGAAAAGGGCATCAGGATGCTTCCAGAACGTTGGAAAAAATGTGTTGACTCTGGAGGGGAGTACATTGAAGACTGACTTGTGCAAGTAAGTGTTGGCAGTTATGGTTTTTAAAAAAAGTCAGTCCCAGTCATATTTGAACCACCTTGTACTAGGTTAAATGCATGACTGCATAAGAATCTAAAACTGTTTCTTTTCCTCCTGAAGGGTGATGTTCAGTGACTTATCGCTCTTTTCTGCAAAACTACAAATTTATGTTCTTCTCTCAAAGAAAGAATAAAATGTCCCCCCAAAATTGAGGATCTTAATTTTCAGTGTTTTGAAAAGCAGGTCCTATGATAACAATTTTCAGCCTCAGTGATAAGCACATCCAAATTTAAATAAAATGAGATCTAGAATTTTAAACAACTTTTAAATATACTGCAAAAGTCACTGATTGCAATTTAGATTTGAAAGTACCTGTGGCACGACTTCTAGCAGTAATGGACGCCGTGTTATAGGAGGGGGATGTGATGAAGCCAACTTTGCCAGCCAGTACTTCAGCTCTACTAGTGGCGACAACTGGTCTAGAAGTGTGTCATGTAGGAAACACTGAAGCTGCAAATGGAAGCCAAAGTATTATGCAATGATTGAACAGAAGAGTAAACACAGTTTTGCAACTTTTCAAAAGTGAGAAATACATACTTAATGGAGTAGACATATTTTCCAGTACCTTCTTGTTTTCATATATATATATTCATTCATCAGTAATCTGTCAAGACGACAGGTCCACAGTCTCTTCCAAAACAGTTCCTCCACTTAATGCGATCTAGAGCTTTCTCCTTCAAATGAGAATATCCTCTTCTGTACCCAAGGTCATCCAGCATCTTCTTACGTCTTCTTCCTCGTCTTCTGGTCACTTCTATCCGCCCCTCTATCTTTCCTTCAGTAACTTCGTTTAGAAGGCAGTTACTGCGTGAGATATCCAATTAGCCTTCTGTTTTCTTATTTCATGTAGGATATTCCCTGCTTACTGACTCTAATTAACACTTCTTCATTTCTCACATAATCGGTCCAACTGATCTTCTCCATCCTTCTCCAACACCAAATTTCAAAGCTTTCCAGGTCTTTCTGATCTACTGCCCTAAGTGTTTCCATTTTGCAGCCCCATACAAAGCCATGCTCCAAATGTGGCATCTAACTAGTTTCTTTCTCAAATTTAAGTCCAATTTGCTGGTAAAAAGATTCTTCTTTTTGCTAAATGCAGCTTTTGCCATGGGAATCCTAGATTTAATTTCAGTACACCTTCCATCATCTGTTAAGAAGCTACCCAAATATTTAAACCATTTCACATTCTCCAGTTGTTTTTGGTCTATCTTTATTGTGACTGGGGTTGGTTGTCTCGAAATTTTCATTACTTTTGCTTTTTCCACATTTCCATTCCATAGCACCTTCCAATTTCGATTAGTCTATCAATCATACCCTGTAGCACAGTTTCTTCCTAAGCCATTAACACAAGGTCATCTGCATATTTCACAGTTTGAATTATTTGACCTCCTAATTTGAAGTCTCCGAGCCCATCCAGAGCTTTACACCCGTCCCCACACGCTTCACTTCAACGCGGTGTATGCCTCGACTAAATTCAGCGGAATGAGTCTTACATCCCAGGGGTACACGGGTGTTGGCTCGCTTACGTCGTTTTTTGGATGCGGGCTTGATCGGTTAACCCCCTAGCACAGGTTCCACAGGAACACCGTCACTACCTGGCTTCTACTCACTAACTCCACTTCCCGGCTTTCACTCACTAACTCCTCGGCTTCTACTCACTGACTGACTTTACCCCCGCTGCTGCTTCCAGAAACCACGTTCTTAGCCATCTCGAACTTTCCACTGGGAGGGCTTCATGACCAAATGCACGGACCCCTTCCGGTCTGCACACCTTCTAGAAGTTTCTCGAAGCTTCGATCCACAGGTCCTCCACCCCCACAGGCACGGACGAAAGAAGGTATACCTACTCCCCCTTGAATGCAATGGACTCACCAACCTCCC